AAACAGAGAACGTAACTCTACGACAATTGAGTAAACACTTCGCGCTAGATGTATTAGAAAGTATTTCTTTAAATGTAATAAAGCATTTTAATTTAAATGGTGGTAGGGCCACGCAGCAGCCTCGGCTGTTACACGAATGCGCAGGCCCGTCCGGGTAAGTACCACGACCTCACAGAAGACCAGCGTAAAGTGGAAGTATGACAAATACCTTCGCGTTTCGTCTGGTGAGTGAGGTAGCCGGAGCCCAATTTTCAAAAGGTTGTCAACGCATCTGTAACCCTCGGGTGTGGCAGATGTCCATGGGCGGCGGTATTCACTTAACATCAAGTGAACCGTCTGCTCGTTTGACAACTTTTCGCATAAAAAAAAGCATTTTAATTACAGTCACAAGCCACAAGACCTACAAAACCCCTTTAAATGTCTATACTGGTTGCTGTTTCTCCCTTACCTGCGGTTTATGGGCATCATGACTTTAGTCCAATAAGCTCTTTTTACAAAGCTTAATAAAAAACCTTTAAAAACCTAAAAAAAAAACGGTTTTTTTCTAAAGTAATCGGTATAAAACCGGTGTGTAAAATTGTAATCGGTTCACATCTCTGGTCTGAACCTCCTGTGTAAATTTGGGCACTTCTCAAAAAATCTACTTGTATATTCTTAAATATCAATATACATAAATAATAAAATTTTATTATTCAAACAATCAAATAAAATATTTTATTCATCGAAATAAGAAATATAAATTCTATATTAATTATATTTATCGAGACATTTCTTAAATCTACCACCGTTTCGTGATAAGAAACAGACAAAATATAGTTCATCCCACAGCTCGATGAGCGGCTTTCAGCTTCCTGATACTGCCAGTAATGGAGGATCAAGTCTCAGTTAGATAGGTCATCACTTCCAACGCACATTGATTAAAGACTTTAGTCTTCAAACATTGAGGGATATTGAAGGAGAAAATATAGCGTAGTTTCCCTAACGCTGCCCATCCGGGTTGGATTCACCGATCGACCTCGGAAAATCAAATCAAATCATTTATTCATCGAAGTAAGAAATATACATTTCATCTATCGATAATCATTTTCTAAATCAACCACCGTTTCGTCATGAGCTTCCCCTAACGGAGAAGAAACAGGCGACAGAAACTCCGTAGATGTCCTCTTTGTAATTTTTTGTTTGGCGTCGGAGCTAACCTTTTTTTACGTCGCAAGCGAGCTGGCGGTTCACGTGATGTTAAATGACAACCGCCGCCCATGGACATTTGCAACACCCGTAGGGTTGCAGATGCGTGGCCTACTTTTAATAAAGTGCGCCCCGGCTACCTCACTCACCAGACGAAACACAGATGTATAACACTTCGGTCTTCTGTGAGGTTGTGGTACTTACTGACCACACTTACGGACCTGACCATTCGAAATTAGGTAGTTTGTGAAACTATCACTTACCATCAGGTAAGTGATAGCCGCCGCCCATGGACATTGATTTCTGTACATATGAGTGATTTGTAAAAAACATAGTTACAATCCTATCCGTTATCTTATAACTTAATTACTTACAAAGAAACTGTTATGAAAGAGTGAAATAAAACACAATTTTTTTTGGAATCATCGATTCATATTCATCCATAACAGGGAAAAACATAACTGATTCATAATTAATGATTTACGTCAATTGAGAGAGCTCAATTGTAGCTAAATGTGTAGAGTTGATAATTTCAATTTCATCATATCAATGTAAACATCCAATTGAATATGCTAACAGTACATGATTGTAAATACACGTCGATTACAATATCCATGAAATATTGAGGGCAATTCAAAAATACACTTTGTGTTTACCCCGTATGTCGGATATAGTACAGTCAGCAACGAAACAGAATTAACGCGCAAATATTCTTTCATATTTAAATATTATAGTATTAAAAATATTATTAAAATAATAAAACTATGTACCAAGCCGATTGCCTATTGGTACTTTAAGGGTTACTCAAAGTAATATTCGAGAAAGCGCATTACGCGGGAATATTAATAATATTTTGTTGCTAACTGAATCTATACATCCTGTAGTTTAATTAGTTTTAATCTATCAGTCGTTTGAATCACAGTTCAAAACACCTTAACGACAAATAGAACTCTTTTATCAAATACAATGCTCAATTTTCAGAAGATCAAACAATATTCCAATGTTGTTTGACAATGTAAACGATGTTTCATGTACGCATTCTCTAAAAGAAAGGACGCAACAGGACATAATATCAAAAGTCAGCTAACTTAATAGGACTGTGGATACATATTACAATAACCGTTATAGCTGACTAACCGTCGGAGCTAAGCCAATGCAATGTAATCTATTACATCAATACCTATTGACAAAAAAGTACACAATGCAATTTAGACACAAATTCGATTGAGTATTTTATTCTGTACACAAAGAACTTTATATACATTATAACGTAAATCTTTATGAAACTCATATGCTTGTTCACGTCGCAAAACATCAGTAACGCAACAAAAGTATGAGTCAATATAACCTTGAATAAAATATTTTTGCGTATTATTATATATCTCAATTATTTTCCACAATCAAAATTAAAATAATGTCCGCCGCAAAAATAAAAAAAACAATTTAACAATTTGACAGGTCGTTAGTGGTCCAATTACAATATGCGGAACAATATAGGACACCAAAGGGAGAGCGTGGATCGTTAAAAAAGCTCTGCGCTAAGACTATATCTACAGATTGCTTTTATGTTATGAGATCGAGAGATATAAATGGGCAGAAGTCAGGGAATAAGGTTTTCATACAATTAGACTGTGACAAAGTGTGTGAACTGCAATAATAGTTGAGTTTTATGACATGTTATTATTTTTAATATGCAATCAGTTTATAACATAGTTTGTATCATGACGAGGTTCTATATTACATATTATGACAAATAAAGCTTTCTGGAAGCGTCGATTCGAACGAATAAGATTAAGATAGGTAATAGTTCTACGGGTTGACATTTATAGTAGAGCTTAATCACACTTTACATAGTTACTTAGTATATAGAATCGGCCGTTTGAATACGTAAATAAATTATACGGAAGAAAATAAAAAGAAATCTATCGTCTTCATTATTTATTGGTATCATCAGGACGGTAATGAAGAATTTGCTCTGAGTCGCACTCACAAACAGGTTTCAAATGAACACATTCTTCAAAAGCGATACAAGCGTTACAATGATATAAGGAAACTTTTTACTGGCTTTAATTTTTAGATCCGTCAGTATTTAAAGCTTTTTCTAGTTCAAATCCACTATTACATTCATAGACCGAAATTAAAGTAGGAGAAAGCAATGATTATATTTATAGCCAGACCAATTATCTCCGTAAATGCACAGAAACCCTAAGGACATGGAGAAGTTACGCGAACAAAATCTACCTATAAAGTACTTTCGTAGTGAATGCATCTAGAAATAGTTACAACGCAACTGATCTCTATTTAGTTCCAGGAGAGGGAAACACTATTACTAATCTAAGTGGTAAGCAGGCTTGTTCTACAAAAGTATGAACATTTTTTTTCAACAAAACGTGTCTGTACTTATGTGCGCACGGAAGAAGTTATACTTCTTTAACGTAATAATAAAAAAAAATTGTTATTATTCTTTTATTACGTTACCCGTGTGCCAGTAGTATTTGTTTGAGAAGAAACGACATTTATATGTTTCATTCATAACGGTTAAAAAAACTTATTATTGATTGAAAGTTGTTATCGTTTGCCATGGTAACACCAGGAAGTTGGTGTCGGTTTAAGGTGTTGATCGTAATAATTCACTCTCATATTTTTTCCCGAACGCGCCAACAGAAGTAAAGCTTCAAAAAACTTTTTCTATTTGATTTTGATAAGTTCCCAGATATGTTCCCGGAGTCCAATTTCCAATACCAATGAAATTAACATGAGATCACATGGGAACCAAACCTAACCCATTGTAAGGGAATTTTTAAAATCGACACACAAATCGAGTTCTAAGGTGACAAACATAAAAAAATACAACCGAATTGTGAACTTCCTCCTTTTACGAAGTCGGCTGGAAACCTACCGAATGCCGATCGTTACCACCACATCATTCACACTACGAAACACCTACGAAAATATAATATGTGTATAAAACTTCCCGTAATATCGAGGAAAACATTAATAATATTATACAACGTCAAATTTTGTTGCGTCAAAATTTTCCTATCTTACTTTAAAAAAAACGGCCCATTTTTTTTACTACGTCAACCAATATAAAGTCAGTAAAGAAGTCAATACAGTTCGCCTGCTTGTTTTGATTTTCCATTACTTAATTAGTTAGGATTCTATATTTGTAAACAATTTATTTTCATAAAACAATCGAAAGCAATCGCTTAAATGATTCAATAGGAAATATTCGAATAGCCTTATATCAAAATTGTGTATTGCATTATTTTTAATTGAAATTTTAACCAAATTAGTTGCCAGTCCAGCTCGGATTTAACGCGCGTTATTCGAAGTTAGCACCACCGTCGTTGGTATCATTAATTTCGCACTGAGCAAGCCTTACGCATCCATAGATATCTCAACCTAGCGCTTCCTAGCACAATGAACACATCTATAAGCGGAGAACATTTGAAACAATCACATCGACCCCATACATGCATCGAGCGCGACGTTGAAAATATAAAAACCAAGTCGATACGACGTACCGTGAGCAAATCTAAATCAAATAATATGAACAACTCACAACGGTCAACACGATAAATTAAAATAAATAATTTCAATAACATTTCTGAGATAACAAACGGTTGCGAACCTAGCTATGTACAATAGATTACTTAGCGTCAAGTAGAACTATCAATTAGATAACTTTTATGACTCGATAACTCACTGTCTGTTGATTGGATCACAAGCGTCGCTAACATTAAGAGCAGTCACTTCTCAATTCACTTCACTGTGTCTGTTTCGTTTACGTTCCGCTTTCGGCAACCGCATTATGTGAACTCGTTGAACTGTGCCAGGGCTGTCGTCACTCTGGGGAATAATAAATTACGAGTTTCCATTAATTTATAGCAGAACTATCTCAGTCAGCTTTGTAACAAAAAACCGTACCGTAATCGATCCATTTGTTTACAAGCTACGATGCCACAGACAGTGACACAGGTACATAGACAGACACATCAAACTAATACACCCTTCTTTTTACTTGGAGGTTAAAAATTATAATAACGATTTATGACGTCTTATATAAATATTCATCGTGAAATGTTATTTACAAGGTGTGTTTAATGCTGTAAAATATTCACAGTAGATGGCGCCAGGAATTGATAAAAATACAATGAAGGAATCAGATAGACGTCGGGATGTGAGGTCATCGGCCTCTTGGCTTAGTTGATAAAGCGCCTGGGCGCGAAATCAAAACACTCAGGTTCATATCGCGCAACACCGAAAGTTTTGTTCATTTGTCTACAAAAAATAACAATTCAACGGTTAAATCAGTTCACTCGGTACTGTGGTGGAACGATTCGCATAAGGTGGGCGTGAGGGGGGAGTGAGGGGGCGTGAGGGGGGCGTGAAGGGGCGTGAGGAGGCGTGAGAGAACGTGAAGGGGGACGTGAGGAGGCGTGAGGGGCGCGCTCACTTGTCGTGCAGGTGCTTGGCGTCGTGGCGCGCGTAGAGCAGCTTGAGCGCGCGCAGCACGCCCAGGTCGGCGAGGCGCGCCTGCCGCGCCGCCGCGCCCGCCTCGCCGCGCCACACCAGGTTGCCCGCCACGAACAGCGCCGCCTCCTGCAGCTTGCTCTCGGGGTGCGCCTGCAACGATCGCGGCCCTCGATTAACTGCCGTCTCTTTCCGCCTCATATCTCCTATATCATCTGTCGCGTTCACTCGTATGTGAGACAAACATCGTTGGCGCTCGGGGCCCGTGTTTTTTTTGGTTGCCGTTATCTATGAGCTGCGGTAATCGCTTAATATCAGGCCGTTTGCGAATTTATATATGTTCCCCATTCCTGCGTTATTAATAAGACTGGTCACTCAAAATTAAGAAACAATAAAAATGACAAATGCTCACCAGGTAATCGACCAATTTCCGCAGAACATCCTCGTTGGCCATTATGAGATCCTTCGCCTTCTCGCCGTCGCCGATGTTACCCAATATGCACAAAGCCTGCTCTTTCACTTCGGCCGGATATGATCCCTCTAATACGACAATCACCGCCTGTAAGAAAGACAAAGTCTCAAAACAAACAATAACAATAAAAAAAAGTCTCAAAGAAGTTAAAGGATACTTTTAGGAGGAAAACGCATAATAAGCAAAAAGTAATTTATTTTTAATTCCTCTCAGAGCGGATCAAATTCTCGCCAACGGTCCAAGCATGACATTACATTGGAACTAGGGCCGCGTGCCTCGATTGTGTAGGATTTGTGCTGTAGCGCCCTCGTCTAGAAATCCGCCGATTATCTTCTTACGTATAAATACAACTAGCGACCTGCCCCGGCTTCGCACGGGTGCAATGTATTATACATTTTATATGTATAATACATTGCCTTCATCTTGAATCACTCTATATAGTAACAGGATCAAGATCCGATGCGTAGTTTTAAAGATCTAAGCATACACAGGGACAGACAGACAGCGGTGTAGCATGCAGACATGGCTAGGTGTCTCGTGTGAAATTTTCGCGCAATACCGTGAACAGTCGCAGAAAACGATCTTGCGCTTCACGCTTCAAGTTCACCTCGCTGCATGTCAGTCCGATGCTCGCTGCTTCTGCCAATACGGTGCGACGCTCTTTTTCCTTGACGATTCCAATCCAATGCTTGTTTAGGAATGTGATCGGAACCTCTCCGGAGCGTGTGACCAATCCATTTCCACTTGCGGCGCTTGATTTGGCGGTTAATCGGGCTCTCGTGGCTTCTTCCCAACAGTCCTATGTTGGAAATTGTCTGGGGCCAATAAATTCCGAGTATGCGAAGAAGACATCGGTTGACAAAAACGTAACGACGAAGACAAAGGTTGGCGTGAGATGTTACCTTCCATGTTTCGCACCCGTAGAGCAGCACGGATTTGACATTCGACCCGAATATTTTGCATTGAATTCTTCGGGTGTTTCCGTGTCTGCCAAATAGGTCTCAGTTGTGTCAAGGTAGCTCGGGCTTTGGCGATACGTAAAGTGATGTCTTTTTTTTTTTCCTCCAGTTTCCGACACAACGCTCCCGATGTACGTTTTGTGGAAGCGTGCTACCACCGAGGGTTGCCTCGTTTTGTTTATGGGCTCCGGCCACCTAAATAACGCGAAAGTTTATACTTCAACTTATGTTTCTGTTCTCAACTTAACTTAACTTCTCAACTTATTACTTAAATTCTCAACTTATTTTTATGTTAAATTCTCAACTCCTGTACGCATCTCCTGAGTCTTCCGAATGTTCATTTTTAGTCCTGCCTCCCCTGCCTCCTGTCGAAGGTCGTTCAACTTAGCTTGCATGTTGGCCTATGTATGACTCAGCAGGCATAAGTCATCGACATAATCCAAGTCTTCTAAGACTTTGGATGATCCCCGCTCGATCCCGCGGCGCCCGTTATTGAAGATGCGAAGCATAGTTAGAGAATGCCTTTGGGCATTACGTCCGCCCTTTGTTACCTTGTTTTACTGAAGGTTGGCAATAAAGATTAAATAAATAAATAGTTCCGTCAAGAACAACGATAAATAGAAGAGGCGAAAGCAGACAACCTTGGCGGACACCCGCGTGTACTCCGATGTCATCCGAGATGAGGCCGTCGTGAGCCACCTTACAAGTATATTTTCATAGATATTTTTTAATATACGGAGAATTTTCGGCGGCACTCCAATGCCCAGAAGGCGGGACCAGATACTGGACCAATTCAAAGTATCAAAGGCCTTTTCGAAGTCGACAAAGGTAAGATAAATCTCCCTATGCCATTCTGATGCCTGCTCAAGTATGATACGGAGAGTTGTGATCTGGACTGTACACAATCGGTTTGAATGGAACCCAGCCTGCCCCTTGCGTAGAAGGGGTTCCACGGCCTTCGATAGCCTGTTCAGGATAATTTTGCAGAAGACGTAGTGGATAGTAGTAGAGTCGCAGAATGGTAATATAATATCTTGACACACTATACAGAGATTACCCGGATTTTCCTTAAAGTTTCCTTAAAGTCAGCGTAAGTCAAATGCAATCCCTTTCTGTATCATATGTTCTACATATCTGTCACATTCACTTATATATGTCACACAATAACGTAAAGCGGGTAAATTTTTAAACGCCACACGATACATCATTGCATGGCATTGAATTCTATAAAGTCTAGGACGTTCTGCGGGCATTTTGGGATTTCCTCACCTGCATGACTTGTGAGGAGTATTCGCCCATTATCGCGTCTATGTGCTGCCTGGTGGAGAGGAGGTTCCTCAGGAGGCCAAGGGTCTTCATGATCACGCGCGTGTCGCTATCGCCCAGCAAACGGAACATCTGCTCGGTGCCCAAGCAGCACAGAATGCGCTGCTTCACCTTCTGCTCGGCCTGGAGGCGTGATGAAGGAAAGTTTAGAGCAAAAAATCAATGTTAGCTTTCTAGTTTCCCGACAGACTTCCATGGATCTTATTTACACTTCGTATGTGATGTGGTGACTCCGTGGCTAGTTGCCAAGGTATTGGCTTCGGCGCTGGGTGTCGGGGTTACGGAATAATAATAAAATAAACGTAACGTTTTTAGATATGGGTGTTTGTCCATGTGAAACTTATGTTTGTGAAACGACCCTAATTTAATTTATTAATTGATTAGTAAAACATTTCCCTTACTGCAGGATAACATTATTCTGTGTTGTAAGGGCTTAACTTACAGACAGGAAAATGTTTTCCTACAATAAGGGGAATTTTTAAAAAAACTTAACTAATAAGGCGAAAGTTACCTGAAAAGCCATATTCATAAGGGCCCAAATTCCGTTAAGCCTCAGCGCGGCTTCGGGCCTCTTCGTTAAGTTGCATAACATTTCGACAGCGCCTGCGAAAGAACAAACATTCGACATCAAAAACAAAGTATATACAATACGTACACTTTAAATTGCTTCGTACACATATAAAATTGTTAAAAGTAAAGGTCTCTTCCCACTACACCGTATCATACCATGACCGTGCTAGGAACGTGTCAGGCAAATAAATATTATTTGTATTAAAAAGTATGACACTGTTCCCACTAGACCGTGCCGTCACCGACCAACACCGTCGCGTGCCATGCACGGAGCGTCAACAGATGTCGGCGAGAATATTTTGCCGGTGCTGACACGCTCTGTGCATGACACGCGACGTTGCGTTTGGCGGTTGCATAGTGGCATCATAAGGGGAGGTATACGGGCACGGAACGCCGTCGATCCGTTCAGTGGGCATAGTAGAGCGTATCGTGTTGCTTTTCGTCCCTGATACGCTCCTAGCACGGACATTGTATGATACGGTGTAGTGGGAAGAGACCTTTTTTTTACCTGCCAGTTGTATAAGGCAAATCAATCATACTGTAAAAGCTTCCCTAATGGCAAAGGCCTATTATAATGTCCAAGAAGACATTGAGGACAGGGAGGTGTGGATATAACACTTGCTCTGCACTGCTGATTTTATACTTAAATAAGTTTATATAATATTATGAATAAATATTGTCTCATTAAAAAGGAAAGGAAAAAGAGATAAGACCACAGAGTTTATTGCTGGTCCTTCGATAGGCCGGCGGCTGTGGTTACAGAATATAATATTGATACCCCACTAGTGGTGGGCGATACATATCGTATCAGATATGAAAACTAGATATTAGTACAATATCCGAATATCGTTTACTGGCTCGTTCAATATCTATGTATTTTACAATATCTGATATTTCCGAAACTGATGTAACGTGCTCGCTCGCTATACCGACACGAATCGCGATATCATACGCGTTTGCCACAATATCTGATTTTTAAACAGATTTCGAGAGACAAAGCGCGTGAGGTACAAATACTCACTAGTTAGAGCGGGACGGCAAGCAATGCACGATATCAGATATCGAGAGACAAAGCGCGTGAGATACAAATACTCACTAGTTAGAGCGGGACGGCAAGCAATGCACGATATCAGATATCGAGCGACAGAGCGCGTGAGATATAAATACTCACTAGTTAGAGCGGGACGGCAAGCAATGCACGATATCAGATATCGAGCGACAAAGCGCGTGAGATACAAATACTCACTAGTTAGAGCGGGACGGCAAGCAATGCACGATATCAGATATCGAGAGACAAAGCGCGTGAGATACAAATACTCACTAGTTAGAGCGGGACGGCAAGCAATGCACGATATCAGATATCGAGCGACAGAGCGCGTGAGATATAAATACTCACTAGTTAGAGCGGGACGACAAGCAATGCACGATATCAGATATCGAGCGACAGAGCGCGTGAGATATAAATCCTCACTCGTTAGAGCGGGACGGCAAGCAATGCACGATATCAGATATCGAGCGACAAAGCGCGTGAGATATAAATACTCACTAGTTAGAGCGGGACGGCAAGCAATGCACGATATCAGATTTTTAAACAGATTTTGAGCGACAAAGCGCGTGAGATACAAATATTACACTAGTTAGAGCAGTACGGCAAGCAAGGCACATATCAGATTTTTAAACAGATATTTTGAATAATTTAAGTAATTTTGAATCTTAAAACCATGCCAATAAGATCCGTTTCAATTAAATACTAATCATGGTATCAACGATTACTACAACGATATTATTAAGTATATTTTTATAGTTTTTGTTTAGCCTTGAGCCGTAACGGGCGACAAAGCGCGTAGTTAAGTAATTTTGAATCTTAACAGCATGGAAAAAAACATTTTTAGTTGCATTTAAATACGAATTACGGTATTAACGATGTCTTTAAATTTTGTTTAACCTTGAGCTGGATTGCATTGGTACCTAGCACGTAATAGTAAGGGATGCCAACTTACTACTTAAGAATTTTCTGCTTAAATTAAGGAAGAAAAATATAAATGAAAATTTTTTAGGAGGTAAATTTTTTGTGAATAATTTTATTCGTTAAATTTTATTCATATTTTTGGAAAAAAAATAAAACTACACAAAAAGAAAAATATAATTTAATAGTGCTGTGCTGCTTGGGTGGAAATCAGACCAAGGCTTATGTGCTTTGTGTGTATATTTTAAATTCTTCCGCCCTAAGTTATAATACTGAATGTATTATTTCTTACACAAATTATAAAAATATTGTCACTAATGATTGCGTGTTCTAAGAATATTAAACTCAATTATTTTAAGCGATATATAAGATTTTGAAATAAATCATTTTTATATTACTTCAATTTCTATTTTTAATGAAATTTATTCTTTTATTATTATTATTATTATTTTTTTCATTTTTTTTTTAGAATTCAAGTTGGATACGGGACCGTAAAATATCTAGATATTAAAATACATAGTTTCGAAATCTGATATTTGAAATCGAAATCTGATTCAGATACGGTACTCAGAAAAAGCGATACGACCCATCTCTATACCCCACAACAAAATTGATTGTAAGTGAAAGCGCATATCGAAAGAATCCGAATTTTGTCTCTCAATGGATAGCGCTTAATTTAAGAGTTGGGTTTATACCAAGTTCTTAATTTTAGTAATTGAGCATAAAGGGGGGGGACGGCGCGTACGCAGTCCCCACTACCAAAAATAACGCGTCCGAGTTATCCACATTAGGGATAATCGCAGGGGTCAACCCAACCGCAGTGCAATGGGAGAGCCTCGCCCTGGGGGAACCGCCTTCTTGATCACGGTATCCCCTACGCCAGGTAAGTATGAATTCCGAACGGCTCGCCTCAGACCTCATTCGCTGAGCGAAAATCTCAACATCGCGACTTATAATCTCGTTTAAGCCTAGTTGCGACCTCTATCGGCTTGGTGCAATAATAAGTAAACACATATGCAAAACTTACTAAGAAAAATTTGTAGATGGCGCTTGTAAAACATCCATGCAGTCTTGGAAATTTTGAAACCATATGCATGTTTGTATGGTATATGAAATGATGACCCTCTGTGTGTTCAGAGGTTATTCATCAACAATCGCCTCCGTTGCGAATAAGAGCATCAACGTAACACCAATTAAGTTCACCGGAATACTACGATTTTGTAAAGCATATTGTAAAACAGCCTATAGTGCACGAATCTTACAAACCTTTTGGTGGGTATTATCCATATAAATAAAATAACGGCGGACTTCACATATCTTCGAAATATTTTTTTTCTTATCATTTCACATGCAGGTTTCTTACGTTTTCCTTCGCGGCTGAGCGCGTTATAAGTCAGCAATTGAAATTAACAATTTCATTGGTGCCGGCACCGGGAATCGAACGGGTTGCCCGAGTATATTGAGTTAAAAGCTATCGCGGCTACCTTGGTCCAGCATCGGCTCCTTGGCGGGCGAGAACTCCAAGAGCAGGTTGCAGAGCGTGGAGGAGCCGACGGTGAGCAGCTCGTTGCCCGGCGAATCGTTCAAGAGCTGCATCAGCGGCCGCCACACCGCGTGGTCCTACTCACGAGCGCAAACATTATTAAACCACTGAAAAACACAGGCGTGTATGAATTGTTACGTTAAGTTCATTGTTTCCATGTGGGTTCGACTACTGTGTACATTGTGTGATGAACATAGTGTTTTCCCAGTGTCTGGGTGATTATATATCTATATGTATTCATTTACAAAAGAAAAGAATGTTTAAGTAAGTTTATCCGTTATCCAGTACCCATGGTATAAGCGTTGCTTAGTTTGGGACGTTGTGTAAAAATGTGTTCTGAAATATTTATTTATTTATATGTATTTTATTTTATTTATATATATATTTTTCACGTTAGCTAAAAAGGTAAGTATTTTTTATAAAATAAATTTTTATCTTTTAGGGCTAGTCTCTGCGCTCGAGATAAAACTTTACAATTTAAAGTTTAAATTGTTTATAGTGCCAATCTTTGCACTTAAGATTGAACATTAAAATTATATTTTTCTACATATTTTAATTTAAATTGTAAATTTATGGAATAAAAGAGAATGGTTTCGCGCACACGAAACGCACGGTTCGAATCCCGCGGCGTATGAGTATGTTTGTGCTATCAAAAACTCAAATTTCAAGTGCCATAAAATCGTTTGGTCTCGTAAACAATATTTATAGTTACCTGAAACGTAGTCCGTAATTGCTGTACCGATCTCGACAGGGAGTGCAAACATCTTACAGCCGCTAGTCTTACCTAAAATCGTTAAAATTAATACTCAATCGAAAGTCCAAATTGAAAAATAGATAGTTCAGTGTAAGCGCCGCCATAAATGAGAGAAATAGCTAATTTACGTCCTCATAGGTAACAATTTAGTATTGGTATCTGCGAAAAGGAATGAAACTATGTTAAATCCGCAAAAATACTTTCGTTTAATAACGTGTATGTCGCATAAATATCAGAAAGAATAGTGGTGGTTAGAAAATGAAAAGTTGAATTTCAATGTATCGTGTTCATTTTTGGGTGCATATCGAACAAAAGTAATGCTGTTGTAAAATTGTTACTCAATGCGAGCTCGCGGTTATTTAGGTTATGCATTTCATGATATCGCGTGCAAGGAATTAAAATGTCCCATGTCTAATTTATATTGCAATCAATTTATTGGCAATTCTACGTCTGTCACTTTCAAATGACTTAAAAATCTCGAGGAAATTATTGTATTAGATTTCATATCTATTTTCGAATTCTATTTGCCACGTATTCGAATTTCATATTGCCTTTTAAGTAAGAATCCCACGCAATCGCCAAAGAAGTCGCCCAGTGAAGATCTGTCGTCACAGTTAATAGTAGTAGTTAATTTATTAATTTATATCTGTTGAAATACACCTAAAATAGCGAAATAGTAAGAGGCTTATATGATATATGATGCTAATATTACATCAGTTGACAAACATGATGTAGGAAAATTGTAGTAACCGCAGTGTTGATGGCGGTGCACCACTTCAACTGTAAATAGATATGATTCCAAAGGCAATATTGATAATTACATTAATCATTAAGTTGGTTATCGACTAATCGGTGGCGTAATGTTAACACTGGCTTCGGCGGAGTCTTGGGTTCGATTCCCACACGGCATGAGTATTTGTGTGTACCACAGAACTGTTCCTGATCTGGGATACGGGCCGAAGATAGAGGGAGGTGGCTGTTATAGAGTGACAGGGAAAGTGATGTGTTATATGGGCAGAAAAGAGAGAGAGAGGTCGCGGCAATACAGATTGACTTTCTACTCCAAGTCCTTCTCAGTGGAAGCTGTTTGGCTTTGGAACTCTCCCCCACTACACATTAAGCGGGCACAATCGCTACCTATTTTCAATCGACTTTTAAGAAAACACTTTATGCCTCCTTAATGATTGTGTTCCATTCCTCAATGTTGTCAACTTATATGCATTATATATACATTATATTATACATTATTACATTAAATTATATATTTATACATTATTTTTAACGTATATATATATATATGATGTTTGCATGTGTATTTATGTATAATTTATTAATATGTATTTATATTTTAACTTATTAGTTTCTGTTATGAATTCAGTGTACACCGTTACCCGATGCTACTGTTTTTACTATCTCCTTTTACTAGGCTGCCTGGAAGAAATCGCTTTTTAGCGATAAGGCCGCTTATTGTACAGTTTTGTTATTTATTGTTGATTATTCAATATCCGTTGTTTGTGTGCAATAAGGTATATTTCATTCATTCATTCATTCATTCATTCATTGACAGACACAGTGATGTGGGATACGGACAGGAAAGAGAGGCAGGGGCAGCGATAGTGTGACAGAGACAGTGATGTGGTATACGGGCAGGAGAGGGAGAGAGAGGTGGCTGCAATAGAGTCATAGAGATAGTGATGTGGGATACGAGCGGGAGAAAGAGGGTGATGACTGTGATAGAGTGAAAGTGACGGTGATATGGGATACGGGCAAGAAAAAGCGGGAGGTGGCTGTGATAATGTGAGTGACAAAGACAGTGATGTGGAATACGGGCAAGAGAGAGGGCGGTAGCTGTGGCAGAGACAGCGATAGATCGCTCGACGCTCACGGTAGGCTCTGGGTTGTTCATCCCGTTGACCACGTGCACCATCAGCCCGTGGGTCTCGATGATCCTCTTCCTGATGTCCTCGTCGTTGGCGCCCAGGGAGGCGAAGCACTTGAAGGCGCCCTGCTTCGCCGCGGCCGAAGGGCAGTTTACAATTTCTGCCAGCGAGCTCATCAAGTGGTTGGATATCGCTGCCAACCTCTGCAGCGAGGTGTCCACCTGGAAATGAGGGAAAATAAATTCAGTCACTCGAATTGTTAGCTTCATTTAAATCTTTCTAAATGTTTTATAGTGCTAATCTTCGCAATTAAGACGAAAAATTTGAATTTGTAGAGAATGTGACGACGTTTTCACGTCTTCCGGAATCGGGCCCAGACGATTTAGCCACTAAGCTAAAAGGCTGATTGCCACGCCGACGAAAATCTCAACGTATTTTATGTACTTTGTTCTTTCGCATTTCAAGCAATGCCTGGCGCGTCTATTGTTATATTATCCTTTAGAGCATACAAACAATTTCAAATATCGTTTTACAACAAAACAAGTCGCCATTGCTATATGAAATTTAAATTTCTATAGTGCACTTAAGATAAAAAATTAAATTCGCATACTAAGCAATGCTTTGCGCAATCTACTAAAATGTCTTGTACAGCACACACAAACTTCGGGTTCTTTTTTTTTTTCTACAAATTGTTCTTTTAAACTAAAATCATTTAAAAGTACGGTCGGCCCTACATTCAAAGGCTAAAAGCAGAACTGGACTAATAATGAAGATACTCCGATACGTGAAACGTATTTAAAAAAACGACACAAGAGTTTTCAACGATTATTAAAATGTACTTGCTTTGGTATTAAAATCTTCTAAATCTAATACTGACCTAAAATGATTAGCAGTAAAAACTACGACGGCCGAAATATATTCCGAGTTCACGGCTCATCAACCACTGGAGACGACCAGTTAACACAGCGAAAAACTCATAAGCATTGGCAAATAAATAAATAAAAAATAAGGAATTAAAATGAAGTCAATCGGCAAAAAAGTGACCACTCTCTACCTCATTTTTTATTCCCAACTTAGGCACTTAACTGTAAAAGTAACAGCTAATACATGTCCCACTGCTGGACAAAGATCTCCTCTGTACAATGGGTATCAGGGCATAGTCCACCACGCGGTCCCACTGGCGGATTGGAGGACTTCACATATTATCTTCGAAATATTTTTTTTAGTATTATTTCAAAAATGTGCATTCAGCACGGGATAATTCACCACTTAAAACTAACAATTTCACTGGTGCCGGCACCGGGGATCGAACTCAGGCTGCTCGGGTATATCGAATCAAAGCTTTATCTGTATCGCAAATAAATTGATGTAGTACCTCTGCTAAGTACGCTAAAGTCTCCGCGGCCGTCGCCCTTATGTCCTCAGGCATGTCTTTCGTACAGAGTCGAGCAAGACAGGGTAAAGCGCCGAATACCACTCTGTGAAAAGAAATTAAGGATCTTTTCAAACTAAATAATTATTAAACTGATCAAATAAGACAATTTTAGGTAAAATAATGAAATATGATTAAGATTATTTGCAAAAGTAGCTGTCTCACGATTCTGACTAAAATTTTGTAGCCTTAGCTGGAAAATTAGCTGTACTGGGTTCACCGTTAACGAATTAAGGACTTCGTGAGATTTATGCTCTATATACACTAGACCAAGAACATCTCCTTATTAAATTGATTCGAAATCTCAATTGCAATTGTCTTGCACTAGGTAAAAATAATTAAACTTCTCATTGAAAAAATGTAGTGTCCCTTTGGTTATAACAGTACCAGTACAGTAATTTGATTTTATCAGTATAACTCGCCTGTTGTCGTCTGACGGTAAAGCCCCAGCTCGGTGAATGAAAGTAAGACATCGTGCGGCACCCAAAGCCACGGGCAAAGGCTTGTCGCGCGACACTAAAAACGTTAGAAGTTCGGGTATCGTTTTTTCACCATGCCTAAAATACAGAAGTGTATGTCAATTATGTTATAATAGTAAAGAAGTTATAAAAAAGCGTTGCTACGTCTTTTACTTCCATAAGAAAACATTTTTTGACAATTATCCGGCTCGAAGGACCAATGACAGTTTGTGGGTAGTCAAATATTTATTTAAAGTAAGGATGAAAAAATTTTGAAAAGTAAATAACCACATACTTAAATCCACCGGGTATACATACGCTATTATAATAAAATCTGGTGGGACAAAGGTCCACTTGGATTAGCACTTATTAACACATTTAACTCGTCAATCGATCGAAATATAAAGTGACCAGTAACACTTACTTAGTGTTCATGGCCGTGTGGGACACACTGGCGTTTTCAAAGCACATGGCGGCTAGTAAATCCAGGGCGGGCAAGGCGCGAGCCGGCGGCGGAGTCGAGCGCGAGGAGAGAAGCGCCGCCGCAGCCCCACAAGCCCCCGCGGCGCAAAGCGCCTCCTGCTCCAACGGCCCTCCGCACCAGATCGACAAAATGCGCACCACACACGCTCGCGCCGTAGGTGTGCCTTCGCGTGCTATCTCTACAAAAAAAAAACGCAACATTGCATTTAACATTGCGCTTTTTTGTGCTGAACTAATGAGTTACAGACACTGCATTCTCCTTGATTCTTTGCACCTGTAAGGGCAACAAAAACATCAAACTACTTCCTTCCTTACTTTATAAAGAGGTATAATTTGTTGGTTTTTGGGTTAGTTTAAACTAATAGGACATGTTTCTTGATGTTGTTTGTATTATAGATGATAAAATAAATTATTATTTATTATTCTTTTGTTGCAATTTATAGGCCATACTTAACAATTTTTAGGATTCCATACCCAAAGGATGAAATGGAACCCTATTACTAACACTCCACAGTCTGTCTGTCTGTCCCTCTGTCAGCAGGCTATATCTCATGAACCGTGATAGTTACACAGTGGAAATATTAAAAGATGATGTATATCTGTTGCCGCAATAACAATAAATACTAAAAAACAGAACAAAATAAAAAATAATTAAAGGGGGCTCTCATACAAGAGACATGATTTTTTTGCCATTTTAATATAGAATGGTACGTAACTTCGTATGCGAGTCCCACTCGCAATTGACCAGTTTTTTATTTCTTATATAACACTCAGTGGAGTTGGCAATGCTGAAAAATCTTGCATACTGTGATTTTCCTGTTATATTCAGATTTTTATAGTCATTCAATAAGTTGTTTATAACCTTTTAAAAACAGTAATGAATAGATTATTTATAGCATTTAATTCATAGCAAAACCAAATACAGGCTAACTTTCATTTCATTTTAAAGACAATGAATTTAATTTCCAATCCATTAACTAAATTCCGAAATAATATTTTTTTTCTAATACTATTCATATACTAATAATGGCCTAATTGCTATCAACATATTGTGAGTTCAATCACACCTTGAGAAAAACATGTGACTACTTTGTGTACCATTACAATGAATTTTTGCTGGGATAAGCCTCTGAGATTGAAGATCATACTCAATGCAGTTTTTTTTTTTTCATTTATTTTAATAACAGAACTTTTTTTGCATTTTTTTAGTTTGAATAATTGATGTTTTAATTTAATGTGTTATTTTAATGTTTATTGGTCCATATAACCTGCACAAATGTTAATGGAGGCTTGATGATTTAACCCTCAGTTAATTAATTTGTCTTTATTGATCTGAACATTTATAAATGTAAATGGACTTGATTTATTAACTTTAAAAATGAACAAACATTAATAAAACATACTTACGTGTTAGCCTTGACAAAAGCATCATATCAGCAGGCAATGTGGTAATGGGTGCTGGTGGGTGTAGAAATATACTCCTTAAAGCGCACAGTGCTGCCTCAATTAATTTTGTCCCAATAGGTACTGTTCTAAGTAGTTCTACTAAAGCTAATGCTGCACCTTGTTCTACCAATGAATTAACATTCTCAGCAGTACCTTTTGCTAATGAACCTGTTAAAATATGTTTCTGATATTCATACGACCTTTTTATGTAATATAACATATGAAATGAATCACATGACAAATATAACGAAAATTTAAGATTTTAGTATTCCACTTAATGGTTGTTTTTTACACTAATAGCTCTTTAATGTCAACTTTGAGACAATCCGTAATGCTTTTCATTACAAATTATATTCAAAAAACTTGGAGACAATTTTAAATCCCATTAGTATGTCAGTATTTCTTTAAAGTAACAAAAATTTGAAGATAAGATTGAGATACTGATAAAAATTAAAGGAATTTGTAAAGAAAAGTAAACGGAACAGTAAAATATAAAACTCACTATCAGTAACAAATAGGGTGAATAACATTGATATCAGAGGTCAATTCAACATGTTGATGTTTATAAAAGATGTCATGAAAACAAACTCAATATAGAAATAATTAACAAATAAATAAATAACCTTGAAGAAAATAAAAGGTACAATTGTATCATAATATGTTACCAATAGTTATAGTAGCTTCTAATCTAATGTTGGGATCAATTTCTTCATCCGACATCAGCTGTAACAATCTCGGTACAATTCCTTGTTGTATAACGGAGCTTTTCTGTCGATTACTACCGATCACTGAATTCTTTAAAGTCACTAATGCCTCTTGTGTTTTTGCAGCCTCCGATGAGTATAACTCATCGATATATGAACGGGAGCTTTCGATATCCTTGCGGTAAAACGATATAGGTTATAACATTACATTTAACATTAAATTAATATCATAAGTTCCAATAACAAAAACATAAAAATTAAGTCTTACCATGAATATCGTGAGCTGCTGCATGTCTTACGAGATCTACGCAGCAGTATTGTTAAAAATATCTCAGAAATCACTTCTAAAACCGATTGGCGAATACGATGTCGCTGTCAATTTCACCGTACCACCTGTCATGTCACATTCAAAGTCAACGAAGATAGACTATAAATCTTGGGTTTATTTTATTATGTAAATATTTTATGTAAATATAGTTCGCCTGCTTGCCAGGTCGGTTTAGCATCTTCGTCAGTAGAGGTTAGTGGGTAAATGATTCAGGAAAAAAGTAACGCCTAGTAGTTCACGACAACGACATAATGATGGCGTCCTCCGATGCATCTCCTTGATACCTTTTAACGATAGCTAAGCAATTCGCTGTTATTTCTATCAGCTAATAATTGCATTAAAATTTGCAGAAAAAGTACGAAAAGAAATCAAACCTACGTCTTCGACATTCGCGGCCTGATGCGTTAACCACTAAGCTAAACAGCAGATTGCCACACTGACGAAAATCTTACGTCGTTTATCTACATTGTTTTTAGCATTCGAAGCAATGCTTGGCGCATCCATTGTTATATTCTTTCCAGCATACAGAAAATTTCGAATATCGTTTTACAACGATAATTCGAACGAGAGATGCCACCATTGCTCTTTAGACAATTTTTACTAAAGTGCTAATTAATATCTTTTTTTACATTATGCATGAATAATACATTAAGACCATAAAAAAATCACCATATATATAATTAATTATGGTCGAATTTCGACTACTGGGCGACCACTACAATGTAGTTAGCATAATTTTGGCTAAATTTTATCAGCAGCAGCAGCCGAGTACATTTTGTATTAGCCTGGTTGACAAAACTGTTCAGCAAATATTTATTATTTTTTTTTTTTTTTTCTTTTTATTGTGGCATTTTGTTATCCTTTATGCCAATGACAAGTAAAAGGAAGGAAACAGTGGTTTTGTTGAAATATAAATTTATTTCAACAGGACTAGGAAGCGGAATTTGGAAAAAGGAAAATAATCAAGAAGATTTACGATACATATATTCAATGTGATAAAGTATTATTAATTACAGAATATTTAGTTTTATTAATATCGTATTTACACAAATACACATAATATATATACATATATACACACATATATATATATATATATATATATATATATATATATATATACCCATATATACACACATACATACGCATACATTTATATATATAAACCTATTAACCAAATTATAATGAATCTTAAACAGAAAAGACGGAGAACAGCAGTGACCTAATCGCAAACGAATTAAAGAACTAGTACAATATTTATTTAAATTGACTTGAGTGTACCAAGGCTTATTTGGAATTGTCGGTTGAATTGAGGAGTAGAATTTTCCTTTCACTAGGCTAGGAGATGTCCAGTAATGTTCCCAGGACTCTTTCAAATATCGCTTCGACAAGGAAAGAAGATCGTGACAATAATTAGTGTAAGGATATATATCACCGCTTAACACGGCTTCATTTGCTAACTCGTCTGCCTTTTCATTTCCTTTAATGCCGCTATGCCCGGGAATCCATGCAAAAACTACTGTAATGTTTTTAACTTGGCATTTGTATAACAATTTTCTTATTTCTAAAATTATAGGATATTGGCATTTTGATTTAAGCGGAAAATGTGCTAATGTTTGTAAAGAACTTAGAGAGTCCGTAAAAATTATAGCTTTACATAAGTTTGTTAATAATATATATTCTACTGCGCGAAATAGACCAAAACATTCCCCAGTAAATACTGATGATTCAGGAGGTAATTTAATTTTTTGTACAATATTATACTGAGAATGAAATACTCCAACCCCAACACAACTATTATTGGTATGTTTAGAAGCATCACTATATATATAGTGCCAATTCTCCCAGTTATTTTCAATAATGAATTTAAAAGCTGTATGAATCTCTATTTCATCTTTTTTTATTCCAACATTGAGTTTTATGGAGGGTGTAAGAGTCAAGATTTTATAATCGGTTTCAAACAGTGGAAGAGTTTTGGAACGATACATGGGGGCTTCAATAGCAAGATATTTTTGGTAACTTTTAACAAGACATGGCAATTCCTTGAGTTTCCAATACGAAGATGAATTAATGACTTGACATAAGGTTTGTAGTTTTGTTATTAAAGGATGGTTTAAAAATTGTAAACAACGAAACAGGAATCTATCAGCTAAATTGTCTTCTTAAGTGGAGCGGCGGATCTCCACATTCTAATTGAAGAGCATTAATGGGACTGGATTTCATTGCACCAGATATTATTCGTAAAGCTTTTGATTGAATTAAATCGATTTTTTTAAGACCAGATGCGTTACAAGGTTCCAATAAAAATGTACCATAATCTACAATGCTTCTAATGATAGCGTTGTAAACTAACTTTAAGGAGATGGGGTGCGCACCCCACCATACACCAGAAAGGCATCTTAACATATTTAGTTGACGTTCACATTTTGCTACTACATAATCGAAATGCGGAATGCCAGTAAGTTTTGAGTCCAATATTAGACCTAAAAATTTTGCATTATTCTTAACTGGAATTGGACTATTTTTATAAGAAATGTGGATTTTTGGAAGAACACGTTTTCTGGAAAATACTACAGTGGTACTTTTAGAGGCAGACAATTCAAGACCATTTGATTCACTCCAAATACTCAATAGACGCAAAGAGTAATTTAAGCACTCACAAGCTTTATGAGCAGATTCATCCGAAACATACAGAAGTAAATCATCTGCATACTGTAGAATATTTGCAGACCCATTAAGGAAATGTTCTAAATCATATGTGTATATATTATAGAGTAACGGACTAAGAACAGAGCCCTGGGGTAATCCTTTCCAAGTCGTCCTGGATATTTTATGTCCATTTTCTAAAAAAATATGTATAGTCCTCTCATATAACATGTTATAAATGAAGTTAATGAATATTTTTGGAACTTTTAAATCAATTAATTTCTGCCGTAACAGATGCGGAAGAACACTATCATATGCAGAATTTATGTCTAAAAACGCAGATAGAAGGAAATTATTATTTGTGAACGCCAGTCTTATATCAGTAGTTAAAATACTCAAGCTATCTATCGTACCTCTTCCTTTCCTAAAACCAAATTGACTGCTTGCTATTATATTTTTATTTTCAGCAAGCCATTCAAGCCGGTTTTTCACTAAATGTTCTGCAAGCTTACCTATTACAGATGATAATGCTATTGGCCTGTAAGATGTGGCCTCAGTAGAAAGTTTCCCGGGTTTAAGAATAGCAATGATTTCCTGTGTTTGCCAAGACTTTGGTATATTGCTAGTTGCTATTATGGAATTTAAAAGATTTAAAAAGTAAGACAAAATTTTTTCGTCTAAATTTGAAATAAAAGAGTATATAATACCATCCTCCCCAGGGGCAGAATCCTTAAGATATGATAATATGCCTTTTAATTCTGACATAGAAAACTGCGAGGCTAATTCGGAGTGATCGTTTAAATTACACTCTAAATTTGGGTGGCGAAATTCTGGAGCAAAAGGGGGGGCAAGTCGGTCTGTAAAATCTTCAGCAAGATCTATTGGAAGAGATATTGAGGGAGAACTAATTTTACTACATCTGAATCGTCTGATATTTTGCCAGAGAACTGAAGGATTAGTATTAGGAGAGATCGATGAACAGTAATTTTTCCACCCTTCGATTTTCTTCATCTTTAAAATTTTGTGTGTGTTGGTACTTATAACTTGAAAACTTTCAAAATTTTCTGATGTCATAGATGAACAATATTGTCTTTCTGCAGTCTTTCTTTTTTTAACAGCTTCAGAGCATTCTTTATCCCACCATGGCGGGGGTGAAGCTTTTTGGTAGGTATTTTCTTTTAAAGGAAAAGCTTGTTCCGCAGCGTTATTAAGAAAATTTACAAAAGAATTATAGGAGTCAATTTCATAAAATTTTTGGACATCTGGCAAGGTAGAAACGTTCTGTAGTGTGTTGCTTTTGTAAGTATGCCAGCCTTTAGTACTTAATCTGTATTTCATACGTGAACGCGGAACTTTTTGATTTGGAAGGTTATAGAAAGGAAACGAAATAATTATTGGAAAATGATCACTGCCATAAGTAGAAGACAAAATGTCCCACTCTAGAACAGAAGAAAGATTGGGAGTACATATAGATAAATCTACAGCACTCACACTCTCATTCGGTTCTGTACGTCTTGTCGGCTTTGAAGTATTTAGAACACATAAATTATGATGATCAAGGATATCTAACATTAGATCTCCATTAGGATTAGAAAAAGAGCTACCCCAGGATTGATGATGACAGTTAAAATCACCCATAACCAAAAATGGCTTTTTCAGTGAAGATAAGAGATGATTAACTTCATTTAAAACTTGTTGAGATGGGTGAGGAACATAAATAGATACATAACAAACATTATTGTATGAAATCGCAATTGCCGAAAAGTTATCAGAGTGTGGAGGCAGTGGAACATACGTGAAAATAACAGTTTTTTTAATTAAGATTGCTACACCACCATATCCATCCAATCTGTCTTTTCTATGGCAAATGTATCCTTGCATATTAAATGATAAATTTGGCCGCAGCCAAGTCTCCGAAAGAGAGATAAGGAAAGGATTAAATTTGTTAATCAAATATATCAATTCACTTTTTTTATTAACTATGCTCCTGCAATTCCATTGTATAACTTTGGCTTGATTGTCCATTGTTAAGAATTTGTTTAAGAATATCAAATGTTTGAGCAACGGTTGTTCGGTGAAATTATTTTACTTAGTAACAAAGAATTAATTAAAGGAATTACAACATCTGTAAATATGTCTTGTTTTTCATTCCCATTGGGTGTTAATGCACATCCGTTAGACGACATTGGCATTTCAAAGTCCTTAATTAGAGCTTGATGAGCTGCTTTGTCATAGCCTTTGTTGAAATGGGGAAGAGGTCGAGTTTTTAAAGAAACTGTCTTTTTATATGAGTTTTTCAATGGTTGGTTAATATGTGATGACAAAGAATGTTGTGGCCTCATAGACTCAGCTGAATATGTGCTAGAGGGAACAGATTTAAGAATGTCAACATAAGACTTAGTGACAGGGGGGAGCATTTTGGAAGCCTCTGCATATGAGATGCAGTTTTGTGCCATGGTCAATTTTATTTGTTTTTGTCTAGCCCATTCAGGACATGATTTGCTAATAGCAAAATGTGACCCAGAACAAAGGAAACAGAAAGCACAGTCATCATCTTTATTGCAAGAGTCACTTGTATGAACATCTCCACACTTAAAGCAGCGTGGTTTGGACCTACATTGAATTTTAGTGTGACCATATCGACAGCAGTTGTAACATTGTATAGTAGGATATGTGTAAAGTTCGACAGATAAAGCATTATAGCACATATAAATGTGTTTTGGAAGAACCTGACCATCAAATGTTATAACTACTGTCTGTGAAGGTTTCCAAACTGGAGACCCATCAACAGTTGTTTTATAATTTAATCGTCTTATTTTTAAAATTTCACCACAACCCATTGGCACAGTTATGTTATTTTTAATTTCATCTGGGGACCATTCAGCTGGCACTCCTCTTACAATACCCATCCTAGTTATGTTGAAGGTTGGAATAAAGGCTTTTAATTTCTGTGTAGACAAAGAAGGATGATTAATAAAAGTGTTAGCATCAGTAAAATTGGAAAATGCAAGGGAAATCTTGTTCCTACCAATTTTTTTTATACTGCCATTGATGATATTCCTAAATGCATTTTTTTTTAGAAAATTGCCAAAGGACACAGGGTGGAATGAAGTACCATCATTAAATGAAGATACTTCTTTTTGAACATGTATAATATAAGGTGATAAGTCACTGTTTTGGTAAATCTTTCTATATTCGACACTAAGTTGCTCGGGCTCTTTTGATTCTGTTGTTACTGGTGATGCAACATTATTTAGAATGGTGCTGTTCTCATCACTATCGCAATGACAGGCATGCTTAGTTTGGTCATTCTTAGTACCAGAATGACTGCTCCTCCTTTTTTTTTTTGCAATGTTTGCAAATTTTCTGCAAACGTGAGCGTTTTCTAATGATAAGAGTATTCGACGCATCAGTGTCCATACAAGACTCGCCATTAGAAACTTCTACATTGTACGCAACCTCGGGGACTCCACCCCCGGGATCAGGGGGTTCATTCATTATAATAAAATATATAAAACTTACCTAGGTATAGAAATTAAACTATTACTATTAATAATTAACTACACAAAGTAAAAAAATTACATATATACACAAAACTTCTCTGATTATTATCACTAAAATTAAATAAATGTGATTTAGAGAAAAAAACGCGCGCTTAGCTTTCAAAGTTTCCCGCCCTTTTTTCAAATATTTATTATGTTGCAACAATTTCACCGCTTAATAAGGATGCCAATTTAAAAAAATATCGATATTTGACGTATCGACATTTTTAAAAAGTATCGATATCATTCGGTGAAAATATCGATTTATCGATATATCGTATGATCAGCTGTTAACCTCTTGTTAAACTGCCTTGGGTTTCTGGAAGGTTTGTTCAAGAAAAATTAGCTAATCACTGTCTAACCAATGATAATGAATGAAATGAATGATTTATTTCAACTAACTCTTTCTATTGAATAGCTGTCCCTTTAACAAAACTTAAATTAACGTCACTATCCAGTCCTGTCACCGTGTGATTGCCAACGTAAAAATCCGAGCTATAATAAAATTAAATTTATATAAATACATGCAGAATGTCAAGAAAAAACTTTACAGAACGTGAAAAAAATGAACTTTTATCCATAATAAACAAGTAAGTATTACAAAAAGAAAGAATCTATATTATTTATTAACTTTTGAATTGCATTTTGTATTGTTTCTAATCGCATGATATGTTCGCATAATATTAAATAATAAATAGGTAATAGAACACATGAATTTCCTTACAACGTATTAGGGAATTATGTTTATTTTTAATAAAAACTAAGATTTTTGATAAAATACATTTTTAATCAACGATTGATCGTCCAAATTGACAGATTACTTAATAAAACTTTTGACAGCTCGTTGACCACCGAAAAACGCTTTGAGAAACTCGATTTTCTGTTGATTGTCCGTTAATCAGTGACTAATTGCAAATCAAAATCAATGTTGTTTTCAGACGGTCTATCAACTCAGATCATGTTAAACAACGATTGACAAGAGATTTATTGTAAATTAAAATTGATTGTGCTTTCGGAAACTGGGTGTAAGAGTATCTAGTAAAATTAAACACGAAACTAGAGTTGCGTTTAAAAATATATCGAAATTGGAACGAATTCTACAGTCATCATAATATAAATATCGAGTATAAATATATCGCGATAAAGTATATCAACGACACATATAGATCATTGTATGGAAAAACATCGATATTTAGATTTATCGATGTTTTTTGCCCATGCCTACTACCTAAGTACCTAGACATAGCAACTTTGGTATTAATTCATAATTGTTTATACTAGGCTTACTCCAAAACTAGGGTTTGTTTCATCCTTTATATAGTGTTTTCAATTCTACTTTGTTTACGTAGTGTTTTTTCAGCATTTATCAAATCCCCGGATGTTTACAGTAGTATGAATGTTTAAGTGAATATAAACAGATTCTACATGTATAATGGCAGACTCAGGAGTTGATACCAGTAATGAAAGTAGTGATAATCAAAACTTAGATCATACTCCATGTGTCTTAGAATTTAATCCATTGGTCAATCCATTAGACGTGTCTGGAAGTCGAAGAATAACAAAGGACTTTTTTGGCGAATCACACGATTTAATTGGGAAAATAAAATGTTCCACAAAAGCCAGACACTGCAGAATAAAATACCGATATGGAGGCACTATTACCTCCTCGAGAAACCAAAAGCTTCGTTTTGCCGCATCCACCAACAATTCTGAACTTGTGGAAAAACTTCTTCTATCTGGTGCTGACCCAAATTCTTCTGATGAGCACAAAAGGAGTCCACTGCATTTGGCAGCCTGCCGTGGATATGTTGATGTCGTAAGAATACTGTTAAGACATGGTGCTAACCCTAATATTAAGGATACTCTTGGTAATACTCCTCTACATCTTGCTGCATGTACAAACCACATTACAGTAGTTATAGAATTGTTAGATGCTGGAACTGATGTTAGTTCAAATGACAAGAATGGGCGAAACCCAATTCAGTTAGCACAAAGTAAATTAAAATTAATCCAAATGCGCCCAAGCGGTGCAGGACATTATGAGGAGACTAGACAGCTAATTAGTGAGATTTGTTTAGTTGTTGAGATGATGTTAAAATATATGAAAATCCAAAAAGCTGACTCGGGAGACCTTGAATCCGTCCGTGAAAGACTAGAGAGAGTCAGTACAAGAGAACAGGTTGAGTCAGAGGTACAAAATTTACTTGATAGCCTTGATTCGTTGAAATTGAGGTAATAATGTTTGTTTTTTTATTTCTTTTTTCATACATAACCTTCTCAAAATGGTTTATTTGCATAAGTCCATGTATAAAAAAAATTTCTCTTCACTTTATTTGTATGTATTTATTTACATCTTTGTTTTAATGGACAATTAAAATGCTTGTTATTAATATAAGCATCATAATTTTGCCTTAATTTATATATAAACTTTAATTTGTAATATGTTTAGTACCTGTAAGGTTAATATTTAGTGATTATCATGTATTGATTTGGTTGTATGAAATAAAACTATTTGATTTTGCTGTGGGTATTTCTTTGAAATCATACAAAAGTTATGTATTACATTATTTATTAGTAACAATTTCATAAACTTTTAAAGTTCATAAATTTATTGGCAATGGAATGTTTATAATTCAAAAAATTTACAATATGTTCATTTAATATGCTGACAACAAACTGAAACTGACTTACTTACTGTAGAAAATTTACAATTTGATAAAGTAGATTCATTTAAATGCGCAATTATTTTGCCTAATTTTCTGTCATTAAAGTTTTATTCATAAAATAAGATAATTCTATAGCTGAAACAGAAACAATAAATAAACATAGACTTTTATAAAAAAGTTATTTTACATTGAATTTATTCTAATAGCATGCAACTGGGGTTTATGCTATATGAGGCAAATTATCCATTCAATTATTAAACTGTATTATCACAGAAATATTAAAAATAGCTTAATTAATTAATACTGCTAAATATATTAAGTAAAATCACATATCCCAAACCCATTCATAACAACTAAAAGATAAAATTAATGCACAAATCCCTCTTTAATTTATCTATTAAAAATTAGAGGAAATTGTAAACACGTATCAACATAATAATTATTGTGTATTAAAAGTCTTTCCTTAAAATTAGTTATAAGACTATTGCTGATCATAACAATAGGAAATGCATTTCATGTAATAGTTTTAACTTAAAAAAATTAACATATACAAGACAATAATAAAACAATTTTCATGCAATAGTTCTTAAGTGTATTCAATACTGCACATAACATAAATAAAATAGATTTAGAAGCTCATCACTTGTTTTTATTATTAATAGTATTAAATAACAATTTTTTGAATGAATATTAATTTGTTAAAGTGAAATTTAAGGCCAATTCAACTTTAGGCCATAAATCAATTCCTTGGCAACATTTATGTATTTAAAGTGCAGTAAAATTTGGCACTGATTTCCTTGAATTTTGAAACAACTGACTAGCAACTAAGTGTGATTTTTTGAATTACTTACAACAAAATATCACAAGTTAACTTAGACCAATCCATAAATATTTATTTCTCTATTTAAACTTAAATCACAACATGGAATGGTTCCTATATTCCATTAATAATATTACTATTTAGGATAAAATATAATAAATTAATTCTGACCACAACCAGATAACATTTTATTATGTCTTATTGCTTGTGCCCAGGCTCGGTTGAGTGGCAGGTAGTATCAGTCATCATATGATATTCCTCATTATTTTAATTGCAAATGATTTATTTTGTATCTGGTACCAGAAGGTGGACTAAGTTAGGAAAAATTTCTGCCTGCAATGGGCCGTACTCTACAAGTTCGCCATCAACAGTCAGATAACCATTAGGTCCCTCTGGGACTATTCTAAATGCACTCACAGGAATCATTTTAATATAGTCTGTGTTAATATCCGCATGAGTACCTTGCCCCATGCCAAGAAGGAATGATAAAATTTGGGACCTAGATATACCCGCCTTTATAATGAGCATCCACATTACTCCGTCCGATATTAGAGAACGTGGTGCGAATAGCAAATCTTCGCCGATGTAAGCCTGGTACGAAACGTGGACCATAACAAATTCGCCCTCTTCGTGCACCCAGTGCGAGGGTAGTTGGGACATTAAGGAGGGAAGGTGGGATGCGGGGCCATGCATGCAAGCGTGCACTGGCGATCTCATCTCGGAGCCGTCGCTGGTCACGCTGTGGTACTCTGAGCCCCTGGTGCTGTAGAACGCGCTCCTCCTAGAGTTCACCGAGTACCAGGAATCCACCCTTTGGTGCTGCCTACCGTTCACCGCACTGGTGAACACTTCGGAGTGCTCGTCGCAGTCGATGAAGGCCTCCGCGTCGGGCGAATCTAACGCCCCGTCCTGGCTCACGCTATGGCTAAGCGTCACCGGCAGTTTCGGCTTGGGAAGATTACCCACGTCCTTTATCCTCGCGTAGCTGACTACGCCTTTGTACTTCCTCAATCCGACGAGCCTCGCCAGAGCCCATATCGCGAACCTCTGCCCACCGATCGCTCGCAATCGTTCGCTTTCGATGTCGATATCGGAGAGTAGCCCCCAACCAACGGAGAGGAAGGAAAACATTATCTGAAACAAGCGCGGAAGTTGTGATTTTTTTGTTGTGTCACTTTTTTTAATTGTTTCTATAGGGAAATAACATCGCAACCTTGTAGTTGAAAAATTGACAACTTGTTAAATACAAGGCATAACATGGCAAGTGATAATGAAGTCTCTTGAGTAAAAGCCTAGTCATTAAACATTTTACAGCTAAAACATAAACTATCGGGCCGGAAGACTTGCGGCGGCAAATTATTTAACTTTTTATTTAATGGGTAAATCGCAATCAAGAAGATAAATACAGTTGAACATTTTATCTTCCTGACGTCGAGAGGGCGTACAGACAAAATCTTACGTTTTTATTAGACCAGTAGAGCTGCGATTAAATCGTAATAAATAAGCGTCATCTAAGCGAGTTAATCTGCTAGATAAATACGTAACAGTTTGCTAGAATAATTGTATCCGCATCAACTCTCCTTGTTTGTTGAGTTTAACGGACGTAGTCAATTGAAACGTGTAACATTATCTCAGCAGAGGTTATTTAGTACTGACAGTCTAGATATATAACAATCAACAGCTGTGATTAATTATTACATTACTGCTACTAAGTCAATACGAAAAATAGGAAGTAGAAAAAGGTTCATTATAAAGAAAATTGTCGTTTAATTTTTTTTAAACAATGCATAAGTAATAATTAGTTAAAATAAGATGCCTTACATTGATAAATAGTTCTTTGCGCATTACCATTCGGTGACTGATTACGCTACAATGCGAACAATATTGACTAGTTGACATGTGCAAGGCATACCTTGCACATGTCAACGCGATAAGCACAACCGCCTGTTATCATAACAAAAATCCCCCTTATCGTAACAAAAAATCTGTTTCGATAGAAAGTAAATCACACAAAATCTGGTGTAATTTTAAACATAATGTCAGTTATAACATAGTGTGCTAGTAAAAATGAATTGCAGTACAATATCTTATGGCAAACAGGGCTTCTCAACACATTAATACTCACACTAGTTTTCGTTTCAACACGCACGACGTCCATTGGGGTAGTTTTGCCCCTAGCCAAACCCATGGAGATACCTGTAAGATTCTGGTGTATGTACGGCTCGCTGAAACAATCACAAACTTAATTAGAATTAATGAAGTAAACCTAGCTGTCCTTGACCTGGTTTCGTTTCTGTAATAAAATGGATAATTAATGAAAAATGGCCTAACGTGTAACAAGCGACCTTAGAATGTTTTACCGAGTCTGAGAGACCTAGTTAAAGGAATTTCCACCATCCCGGGTGTTCATGGTCCATTAGCGAACTACGTAAGCACATAAAAATCAGTTGCGTTCATAGATCAGCGAGACTGCACAAACATAATCTCACAAAATTATTTATAAATTCTCTTTCTACAATACCTGAACAATACACAAAATTATCATAGAGGAAACCTAATAATGGTCAGCACAACCGAATTGTGACTTTTATTATTAATTTATTTAATTATTTTGCCAGCTACTTTGACAGTTTTTCCTTAATAAGAGTAATTTCTCTTCGACACAGAAATAACACAGTTCCTACTCTGCCACAACTCGTAAAACTTATTTACAGAAATCACTTTTATTCATCATCATTTCAGCCTATTTCAGTCCACTGCTGAACATAGGCCTCCCCAACAGACTGCCATGAACCACGATCCTGAGCAACCTGCATCCATCGACTTCCCGCACACTTGCACACTTTTATTGTCATAAATAAATATTTATTTAAGCGAGATCAACAATATCGACTTTTTTCTGTAAACATATAAAGCATATTGAAGAAAGACGGAAGATGTCAAAAATTACTTTCCTTAGTATAATGGTATAAATATTGGAAAAAATGTAAAGAATTATAAAATTGATACTCATATTACAATTGGTAACGTCAGACATAAGACATCATCGCAATCTGCGTCGTATTAAACAAACAGTATGAAATTGAAAATAGGAACTACAATTATTCACGGTTAACACAGCAAATGCATTAAGTGCATGCATTTGTTGAATCACGAATAATGTAAGAAGTTGCTTTCAGGCGTAAAATCTGTAGATTATAACTATAATTCCCTATAAGTGATGAAAAACTAAGGGCACTTGCATGCTGAAGCTAATTTAATTATATTTTAGCCCAGAAAGATAAGTATAATATAATACGTCACAAACATTACTTTCATCGGAGTGGAACCTGCAAAATATAAAATACCTTTCTCATCTTATAGTTTCAGATGTTGTAAGAGCATTACATTCATATTTAAGATTTTGGACGAAAATGGTTATACAAATACAGTTGTTAGGCTACGTAAAGTTACTTGTATAAGTACATCCACACTTAAAGTACAATAGATGACCTTCACACATTGAAATCATAGGTTATATTTAAAGCGTTTGTACACTTTGCGTCGTTTTGTTTATTATATTACAATAAGACGAGAATAGGAAATATGAAAGATTTCATTTTGGTATTTTTAAGATCAAAAGATAATGAGTACTTCGGATATTCTTTACTTTACACATTTTGAATGGCTCATTTAAATAATTGTTTTGTTACATAAAACATAAAACACAATAAATCTCAACGTTCGTTATGGTTTTTAGGGTTCCGTACCCAAAGTGACTCTTACTAAGAGACTAAGACTCCGCTTTTGTCTGTCCGTTGAACACCAGGCTGTATCTCATGAACCGTGACAGTCAGACAGTTGAAATTTTTACAGATGATGTATTTCCGTTGCCCCTACAACAATAGATACTAAAAAAGAGAATAAAACAAAAAAATATTCAAAAAATCATGTCTGTCATAATGGGCTTCCATATAACAGACATGAATTTTTTAATGATGTTTTTATAAATGGTAACGTTAATTGACGTTTTTATAAATGGTACGGAACCCTTCGTGCGCGAGTTCGACTCACATTTGTTTAAAGATTATTCTAGAGCACGTGCAAGGTGAGCGACAAAAATGACAATGTAGCATAGCTTTGTCGAGGTTTCTTTGTGACCGCAATGTTGCATATTATCGTGCAGACTTGCTGCAAATCATCGTAAAGTTATGATGGAGCTCATTGGAGATTTCACCCTGGTAGTGTCACGTAGCAGCTGCAGGAATGTGCAGGCTCGTTCGAGGCGGTATACACACTCACAGAAGACCGGCGTAAGGAGATACTTTTGCGTTTCGAGCGGTGAGTGAGGTAAAATGGGCGCAATTCTTTAACGGTTGTTGCTGCATATTTTGATATTGAAGTAGTCCATAGCCAGCAATGATCTCTTATAAGTAAAAAAATAAAGAAATGCCGGAGTGTCGTGGAACACTCGGTTGGAACAAAGTTCCTTTCGTAGAATATTATTATTGGTACGTATTATATTTTCTCTCACGCTTGGATTTGCATTTATCAGCATTGTTGCTTTTTTTTTCAGACAATTTGGCTGCCTTGAACCAATAAGTGCGCACCTATGACAAGGCATAGACAATAGCTTATGCGCTATGTATAACCGTCTGCACTAAGAAAGGATCGTGTCGAAAAACTCTTACACTTTTTTCGCCAAGGCCCCATCCGCCTAATCCGTACAAAATATATACAGCGTGTCGTTACCATCGCGACAATATATGAATACACGTCTAATGCTACTTGCCAATAATCATAGAACAATATTAACGTTAAAAAAATCCATGATTAAAAAAAATATTTTTCAAACAAACTAATTAAGTAAAAAAGAAACAAAATTTGTAACACCCTATACAACTACAAATGACTGATTCATACATTCCGAGACTTTTTCATTCGTTGCCACAGCGTCGCATTACAAGCCTCTCCTTCTAACAGAATGTTTTAAATTCATTCAACCCATTCATATGGTTTGTAACATTTACAAATGAACTTTACGTTACAGTTTTACACGTAAGAGTGTTCTAAAATTCTTTGTTTTGGAAAATATAATAACTCTGTAAATATTGATGTTTAAAGAATGTAAATGTTTAATACAATTTTATAAAGTTATCCTCTATATACGCTGCATATGTATATGTTAATCTTAAGTCTTTCTTATGCTCAATACATAAAGAAAATATATAACAATTATTATAATTATAAATTAAAGCATTTAGTAAATACTATTTCTTTATAATTTCTGCTACCGAGACTATCGCCCGGTTTCTGAAACACTGATCATCGTAAAAGTTAACTGTCATTTGACAGAAAACAAAACTCTTTGAACTAATCATTCTGATCAATTTCAGAAAGTTTAACCATCCTTTTGACAAGTTTAATTACATCAGCCATTTGACTGCTGTTTAGTTAACTTCTGCGATGATCATTGTTTCGGAAACCGGGCGTATAACTAAGAAATCGATTAAAACTTTTATGAGACATTATTTTAAATCAAAATAAACCATTTTTCGATTATTTATTGTTTTGTTAATAGCAATGTTATTAACCTTTATTAATTTATTTGACTTTATGGTGTATTCTTTAATTAATATTAGTGATCCAGGACATAAACCGAGACTTAGGCTTAAAGCAATGCTCGGGCAGTCCCTAATCCTTCCTTTAATGCAGAATGCAAATCACCTCAATATACTTGACTGACTTCTGAATAACTGCATTCGATGCATTTCAATCTTCGTAAGTATGGCCATGTGTCTTTCTATCGCTCTCAACTTCAGTGGTTACCTATTCGCCAACGCCACTCCTTAAGAGTATTGACCACTCTATATTCTTTTCTTGATTATTCTTCTACTCCACACTTTAAATATCCATCGTGTCCTTCTCATCGTTCTGATTTTATTATGGTATTATTATTATTTTTATGTCCGGTATAGTATTTTATGTAATATTCCATATTAATTTGATATTTCTATGATCTCTCCCTTTTTTCATTTTACAATCAATGCACCTATTTAAACTTCTCTGGACCACCCAAACGTTGACTGGTAGATAATGCTGATGGCATTAAGTCCGCCTCTGTACATATTTTGTGTGCATAAAGTATAAATAAATAAAGAAATAAATTAATAGAAAGAGGAATTTGTGTGTTTATTATCATTTCTTTAAAAATGTAAGAGTAAAATATTAAACTGGTCTTATGAAAGGTATAAAGAAAATCCGTGTATTTTTCGAAAGCCTTCCACGATACTATCGATATCGCGCACAGCCCATCACTAATAGATAAAAATGAATGACGACGCTTCGACGAAATTCGCGCTGTGCGCCCCGCACAGCAAACGGGAATACCCACCCTTCAGCATTTAATTCTTCATCTTAAAGCACCGCATTCATCATCTTAATGTAAACGCACCAATAGGTCATTCACCTTTGTCTTAAGGCACCATCATTGTAATCAAACCGAGATACGGAAATATAAGAAAGTTACCCGCCAAGATTTTAATCCGCTTAATCAGTCCAGTAATAACACCACCATTCGGTAAAGAATGAATTCTTTCCTTAATTTCAACAAATAAGATTAAAAGTTTCAAGAAACATGGTTTTGGATTAATTTCACTAAAACCTTTTAGTACTTAAAATTAAAACATGGTAATAAATTCCAGACTTTGCTTTGAAAATAAATTTTACCAAGTGGAATTGATATGCCCTTCACAAATAAACCGATTATCTTGTTTATGCTTTCAGAACTTGCCTTCTTTACGTCACGGCCGGCCGTCAAAATGATTATCCCAAAAGATAAGGGGGCGAATAAGATATTTTATCTACACATTCATTTATCGTAATTATCATAATACAATTAAAAAAAGTGAATTTCAATTAATTATTTCAAAGAAAATATAAAAAGAGTGTATTGAAAGCTATTACTAGTTACCAACATTTACCGACAGTTAGGAATACCAATTAGGGGTCCAACTCGCATTAAAATTTCTGTCAAGTGTAGTCTTATTAATAAAGCATTAAGTTTGATATTTGCATAAAAAAATAATGCTATCTACTTTAAATACTAAATGCCCTCTCCGTTTGTGTCCCTTATGAATCATAGAGTAGAATTGTAATCCCTTTTTATATTACATATAATCTTGACTAAGTACAATAATTTTATATAGCCAATTTTTTTAGTTGCTCTTGTTTAAATGTTATGATT